AGCGTAAAGATGGGGCGTTATTCTCATTGGCCCCTGGAGAGAAGATCTGCCACGAAATATTTCTCTGTGGGGCCACATGAGCCTCAGTTCCCCCAGAAAAAAAAAAAAACCGAGGCAGAGGGAGCACTACTCGAACAGATGACTATCTTATCAATAATTAATAGTGTGGTTTGGATCACTGCTGCTCCACGATGTGTCCTGATGGGCCTCCCCACGCACGGGCACCGAGCCGGCAGGGGCCTCCTGGAGCCCCTCGGTAGCCCTTGGAGAAGGCGCTTCAGGCCTCTGCCACATCTGCCCGGGTGCCTGGCTGCAGGGTGACCAGCCTCTTAAATGCCTTGTAATCGATTGTGACTCTTGGCCATAAACTTTTACAACAGGACCCCCCCCCCACACACACACACACACACACACACATTAACCCGACCCTACTGGACACAAGCTCCAGCTACGGAGGAGGATCGAGACTGGGCTTATAACAAACACAGATACAGATATCTGGAAAGGCCATTCTCTTAAGGAAAGGGTCACCGGGGTCACCTTTAAAAAAAAAACCCAAACGGATAAAAAAAAAGGAGATGTGGTGTGAATCTGGGTTCGATGCCGATGCACCACAACAACACTGTGCAGCATTTACACGCCCAATTTATTCACTTGTGGTGAAGGCAGGAGCTCGTGAGCAGCAGACAGGACACAGGTTGGAATCCTGGGTGAGAAACGCACGGTGCACTCGCGAACCAGGCAGAAACAGCAATTAAATAAATCAAGAGGGACACGGGAGTCCTCTGCAGGGAAATTAGGCGACCTACAAAATCAGATTAAGTCTTCGGGGGCTGTGGCGGTGGTGGGGGGAGGGGACGCATGCATGTAGGACATTTTATTTTTTTCACAATAGAGAGGGGGGGGGGGGGGACAACCGCGAGAGGAGGACACGCACCTTGTCGTTCTGATACGCGGTCACCGCCACGAACTCGGTCTCCGGGAACACGTAGGTCCGGAAGGTGCTGTACGGGAGCTTCAGGATGTCGTTGGCCCGCACGATGTGGAACCTGGGCTGGTACTTGTGCATGGAGTTCAGGATGGTCTGCTCCAGTGACAAAACACACACACACGGAGAGAGTGAGCCTTGCGGAGAGGACCTGTCCCCGGCCCCGCTGTTAGAAGTGTCCACAGTGAACGTGGACGCGCATCAGCCCCATTGTTAGCGCTGCTGTTATAATTGCTGTGTAAGCAGACTTGTGTGTAATTAGTGCGGAGCAAAGTGAAAATCCGGACCAGGCCACACATGTTGTCACGAGGGCTCAGAAACACACAGGAATATATAAATGCAAATATAT